TTGCATTCCTCTGTGTAACCAAGGTTACACAGATGCCCCATGACCTGCCAGTCATGCTAGTGCGACCATAGTTACAGATATCCTATCCCAACTGATCGACAGAATGTCGTCGCCGTAATACCATCTATGTATTACATAGGTGATTATTCAAATTTTTGCCATTGGTGGGTTTTGAACTCACAACCTACCACTTGGGGGTTGACAACTTATCCACTTCACTAAGTCACCACATCCTTCTTTTATTAAACTAATTTGATATTTTCTAAACTATTTTGATATGAATGAATGTTCTTTTTTTCATATTTTGTTAAATAAGGCATGTAATGCTCTTGATATCTATACTTACATGATTAAATATGTAACATTTGAAAAATGTTATAAATTGTATAATGTTGCTAACCTATTTACTAACAAACCAAATTCAATCTCTAAAATAAGTCATTGTACTTATCAGAAATTTCCCAACCATCCAATAACTAATTAAAAATTTCTATACAATTATCCTATTGTTAAAAAAATTTCAATGTCAAAAAAAGAAGATATATATAGACAAGTATCAATCTATCTAATAGTTTCTTTAAGCCATCAATTGGGATCTTTGTATAATAAGAAAGAATTTAAAGAATCTTGTAGAAAATAGGTTGATAGGTCTGAAGATCCTAAACAACTTACCAAATTTTTCTGATTCTAACAGTAATAAAATCATTAAAATTGATTAAATATTTAATGGAAAATATGTATTTAAAGATTAGATATTATTTTTATTATATGATAATCATATGATATAAACCAATCAAAATTGCCAATTTTGTATAATTACAAGAAATTTGTAATTATCACAGAAAACTTTATAATATATACAAGTACCCTTAAGTAAGCATAAAAATTACATATAAAACTTATTCTTTATATCGAATATATTAAGAATATCTGATTTAAGTGTTTTGCACGGAAAGGTCCGATTTTAGCTTAACTTAAGATGGTTGGTACCGACGGTCCATCAGGAACGGTATTTTTGCATTGCCTATCCTATTCGATAAACTAATAATATGTTAATATATACATGAACTTTTTATTTTTTAAAAAAAAATTAAATTTATTAAATAATTGAATTAACTATGGTATAATCAAGAAAATTTCAAAATTGGATTAAACCAAACCGATTCTAAAAGCATATTGTAAATGTATAAACTATACTTAATAAAGTACTAAACAAGGTATAAACATGATAATAACAGTGCATCGAATATATCAAGCTTCCTTTTTAGCTTTATCAAATGTAAAATCTTGTTTTTCGTTCTCATTTTATAATCAATCAATTCACATAGTGTATCAAAATTTAAATAAAAAATATAGTACCATAAATACTATCAGTTATAAAAAAATAATAATCTAAAATTATATAACATTGAAATGCCGATCATCAAATCATTTCCTTCTTGAAAGATCTCTAAAAGCAGAATCAATACAATTTTTTATCTCTTTATAAGACACAATAAGACATGATTGCTCATCTCTCGACATTAACATTATTCTTTCATCAACACCTGCATCCAACTGCAATAATAATAATAAGCTATTACGAAAAATAAAATATTAAACATGAACGCAACGACTTATTTACCTTATTTAAGCATGTTAATACATGAGACATATCAACGACCGGATAACCATTCTCATCGACTTGATGAAATACATAGTCTCTGAAAAGTTTAATTAAATATCTATCCCCCGTTTCTGACCAACTTGGATCCATGTCAAATCTATTGTATGTGTACATAGAAGTTTTAATTCCATTCGAATATTGTTAACTATATTATTATTAATCAACAGCACTTACTCGGGACGTTCATTGATAAATCCAAATTTACATAATAAGCGAACCAGCCTTCCGTTTTCTAATTCTTTACTTAGTTCGCTTTCTAAAAAATCATTGTAACTAATAAAAAGAGACAACACAATTGTGAGCTAACTTTAACTTTTTCGTGAATAATGTGTTTAATAATAGGACAATAAATCTTATTTTTCAAATTTCATTTAACACTCCATTTCATTACACAATACATACTGATGAGTGCTATTAATATCATGCAATGTTTTCGATGCGATCATTGCCACAACACCATCTATAGTTTTGTCAGGAGTTGGTTTGCTTATCAAATATATAATGACACTTTTAAGATCAGGTGAATATTGCCGGGAAATGAATTCAATTGATTTTGGCATATTATTGACAGATGAAAGGGAATTGCATGCAAGAGAGATGATTAAATGCCCGAAGCGTATAAGATCTTCTTGCTACATTATATTACATTGGAAAATCAATGAATATTCAGTTACAATATAGTTAAAATAATAAATTACAATCCAATTTGTGACTGATCTCGTCCGTATATATCATGTCAGTTGTAAGTTAAACTCGCAATTGATATGGGGAGACGTCAACAGAATCCAGAAAAATTATTTTATTATATTTTTCAAATTTAAGCTTGAATAGCTTGATAATGACATCGCCAATTAATTAATTTAGGATTTATTTAATTATACAAGCTTGTAGAATTAAAATAAGTCCTAAATTGACAAAATTGTTAAATTTATCAAGTTACTTTGTTTAAAATTTTAACAATTTATCTGGATTTTGTTTACTCCACCATATAGTTATATTTTTTTAACCCGGATTAAAATAATTATATATTTTTTCCCAGAATAACAGCATCAATTATTTTAGATATCGTACCTGGTAATAGTGTATATTTTTCCCACCATCAAAAGCAAGCATGTCCATTATACCGCAACAATTCACGCGTATACTAGATACGAAAAGAAAATTCGTAAGAAGCTTAAATGACAATTAAAGAAGCCGAATTACTGTCTCACCGATTTTTGCCAGTAAGTAATATTTTCGTTGGATCAATCATTCTTGCTGCTAAATCTGATGCATGTATAGTTTTAATTGCAGATGCTAATTGAACAATATAACTCCATAAAACAGTCTCTGGAATATTAGTAATAACTCCTGGAATTTGAACAGCAGTCTGTATCGGAGAGGAGAAATGTTTGTCGAACAATGTCTGTGACAATGGATGGTAGTCATAGACAAAAACAAGGGCTTTCATACAATAGATCGTTAGATGCAAATTAGAAAATGATAAAAAAAAATAATCCTTTAGTTTAATCTTAGCTTTCATCTTTTATATTATATACTTGGAAGTCACTCACAATGATCACCAAAAGCCTTTGTAGTAAATGCTTCACGTATCGAAACGATATTTGCATGTCTGATTCGTCGCCAACTTTCTATTGTCGACATAGCTATTTCATTCGTCAATCGAAAGCCTGTCATTGCCAACAATGGTCCAACTTTACATATAGAGATAATATGTATTATAGTAAGTTATAAATGTATAAACAAAGTTACCTTCGATCCTCCTCAGACAGTAAACACGGCCATCAACATTACAAATTGATTTGTATGTAAAACTTGGGTATCCAAAAATTTTTACCGATTTTCCTTGTCCCAAATCAAGTGGGTACAGTGAATGATAAACATGAAGCTCTTCGGGCAAATTAAAATCTTTAGCTATAGTAAACAAGAAGTGAGAACACAATAACTTCATTATAGATGAATCATTAGCATTGAAACTATTATTACCATTTACGGAGCTCAGTGTTGCTTCGTTTTTTTGCTGTAATTCTTCACGGAGATGATCAGACATAAAGAATGCGTGAATAGTCTTTTGATGTGGATGCAAATTTGAAACATGCGGAAGTGGTGATGTATAAAGGTGATATTGAAGCTGCACGAAAACATAATTTTAGTCAATCACTAGAGCTGTGTTGGAACGGCTATGCTTATTATAATTAGTATGTAAAGGTTCGGATTGTAATCCTGGTTTCATCTAATAGAGCCGTCAACTCTACTAGAAACAAGAGCCGAAAAATGAAACTGTTAACATTCTTAAGTTAAAACAGAAAAATGTACCGGTTGAGGAGTTAATGTTTGCTGTGAATGATATAAAAATGGATCCACATAATGTGAACTTGTGAAATAACTTGTATTGTTCATATGTTGAGTTGTCACATCCGGCAATGTGTCAAGAGCAGAAAATTGCGTTGCCTAAAATGTGACATGTCATGGCAAAAACATTGGTTTACAATCAAATAAAAAAGAAGCTTACTAAAAACTTAAATATGAAAATGTAATTGACATTGTCATTTAATACCAATGAAGCAAAAGAATTAGCAAGAGCATTCAAGCCGTGGCCTTTGACGCCACCGGAAGACAATAAAAATGGTTTAGAGGACGTTAATGACTGTGATGGGTAGAAACTAATAGTAGGGTCAAATATCGACATACTAAAAACATGTCAAAATAAAAATAAATTAGAACTATCAGCAGATTATCTAGTAAATGGAGAATAAAAATTGTAATGTGTGGTACTCTGTATCATATTCATGTTCGCCAGAATCATAAAAAAGTTGTTGCTGTGGTGAACCTTAACAAATGAGATAAATCAGATAAGATTTATAAGTTCACTCGAAAGACAAGGACAGTAACAAAGTTATTACCTGGTGCACTCGGAGGAGTGATTGGTGTTTCATCAACAGCACTCACTTTAAACAAGTTAAACAAATAAGCATACATTTATTGCGCAAAGTAGGTAAAACTCAAATACTAACATTGGTGGTTTTTGGGAATAAATGGCGGGGCGTTTACAACCTCTGGAGAGATTGTCGAAATGATATTAGTTGGTTTGAAAACAGGAGAATTAACACTCAGCTTGGATTTATTTCTGAATAATATCGAATTCAACCGTTAATGTAATAATAAATAACGAAAAAGGTAACGTAAATTCAAGGATCGGTGCAGCTTACGTTTCAGGACTGTTTGGAGGAGATGTCGATTTGTTCTAGTGTAGGAAAAAGGGATGTAGTTTAACAATTCTTGTACCAACGGTTGTAAATAAGTGCAATTTGATTCTATTCAAAAATTTTTACTATAATGAATGACATTTATTCAAATCGGGAAAATCCGAGATTGCCACGATCTGCTGATACAATGAGGTTGGAAAAAACATGTAGTAACAGCTTACAATATCATGATTGAACTTGCATCCTTTCCCTTCGTATTTACAATAACCATGTATAATCAAATTTCGACAAGTCCGCGCTTTGGAATCCTGAGTTGAATCTATAATGGAAATTAGAAAAATTCATTAGACAAAGAAACACGAACACGTACCTATAATTTAAGCAAAAGCGAAAATTTAAGCAAAAGACCAACATTTGGAAGGAACGTTCTTAGAGATTTCTTTTTCCGAAGTCGGTGCAACAATGGGAATAGCAGCCGAACCAGATTGAGTTGGATTTGAATATAAAGACATAGCAAACGAGTATCAGGTAAATATAAACACGATCAGATTTCGGGCTTTAAGAGCAAGTTTTGGCGAACGAAATTTGAAAATTGGATACGTAATAATTTTTATGTGCTACTTACCGTATTCCTCCGACATGTATACCCCTGTCAAATCTTGTGTATTTTCCTGTGACTTGTACCCTATCCTATCCTATTCTAGCGTTCCTGTGGAAAACATTCATGTCATGGAACAGTAATATGTGACCCGGTCGCACGGCTTTTTTTTTAAGTAAAAAATTTTTTAAATAAGGCCGTTAACATAATCGTAATTGTCTGAATTTTTAATTTTTTTATTAAAAATTATCACTCTTTTCAAATCAGACAACACAAACCTATACTATCGGTTCTCATATCTCTTCACAAAGTTTAAAGTATTTTGCATGGTAGTTGTGTGACGTAGTCACCCTTAAGCCAAATTTGCGGTATCATATGAGCGAAACAAATGATAAAAATATTGATCTAGTAATATTAAGATTTTAAGTTTACTGAGTATTCTATGTATGCGTATGAAATACGCATTACCTATAAGAGATAGTGATGACAACTTGGGTAGAATCTTTTGCAGTAGAGGTGACTCCTTTAATAAAACCTTGATTAATTATAAAGCTGGGTCACCTATGCCTAGGAATAGGCAAATACGTAAGCTACGCAGGCTAGTAACCTACATAGAATTTTTGGCTTAGTTTTTAAATTTTGGCCAGCATTAAAAGAAATGAAGCTGTTTCGAAATATCCTAAATAGAAAATGAATGAACGTAAATCGCGAGCAAGATTATGAGGTTTTGCTAGCATCAAATTGTGGAGCATATACTTTGCTAATTTGTTTGGGTCCGTATTATTTCACCGACATCACACCAGGCGACAATTTACTAAAAATATATACCAGTAAATAATAAAATGCTAATCCTAACCCTATGTGGTGAAATGATTATCGACGAAGTAAACGGCACCGAATTTGTTTAATGTAGCAATAATAAATATTTGAATAAACTACAGAAGGATATATAGTAAATGAAGTGTGAAGAAAAGTTATTCCAGAATCGAAATCAAGAATTTATAAATATTTTATAAATAGTGAATATAACGGTAGACAATGAAATTATAAATATAACATTATTTTTAGGCTCTTTTCAACAAAGATGATATATTATAATCAGTGTTGGGCTGACCAGACCAGTTTGACCATTTGACCAGACCAATTTGACCATTTGACCGGTCTGGTCAAAGAATTTTTACTGGTCAAATCGGTCAAATAGCATTTTGAATATAATTTATTATATAATAAATATATTATATTTATATAAATAACTTGACCAATTTGACCAGTTTGACCAATTGACCAATTTGACCAGACCAATTTGACCAGTAAATTTTTGCTTGACCACTGATTTGCCCAACACTGATTATAATATTGGACATTTGAATAATGTCCAATTTGTTCATATAATTTAATTGGACATATAAATTTATTGGACATTCTAATTTTTTTTATTCTATAAAAAAAATTTTATTAATAAACTACTATTATATTATGATATACTGTATATAGCAATATGCTATGACCGAAGCCAACACTTGCAGTTAGGACTAACCATTAAACTGCAAACTATACAGCTACTACTATTTGTACAAAACAAATAAATTGAAAATTACATATAAAAATAAAAGCTCAGACTAATTTATCTGCAACCTAAACCTACTAGAGTAGTCAAAACTCACCTAGATTTGAATATTTAGTATATAATTTAATGATATGTTATATTTGATCCATAAAATAAATCAAATGTTAATTTGGTGAATTGCTTGGTCAATAGGAGAGCATATATTAGAGTGAGTATGTAATTGATCTGGAAGTTCACAAAGACATGAGTAAATATAGTTTCTACAAAAATATATATGTCTAGTTGTTAAGTTAGATGATATTAAGAGCTTGTTGATTAGTTGAGATTGAAGTCTATTTTGTTGTTTTTTTCAGTTAGAGAAATTAATGCAATATGTATTTCATAATTGTTTGTATGATTGTTTATTAATATTGAGAAGAATATCAATAATAACTTGAAAAACAGTTTTATATGATATGTTAGAGTTTTGATTATTAATATAAATAATTTTAGAATAAATTTTTTAAGAATAAAGTTAAGGTAAAATGTATTAAATAAGATGTATAGAGGATTGAGACCTAGGTAATAAAGGATTTTATAAATTAAGTCATTTTTTTGGTAAGTATCAAAATCAAGTAATATGTTAGAAATGATTTGGTTAATAGATGTTTGAATACTGTAATTTGGTTAAACAAGAATGCATTAATACAAATACATTAGTAGAAATAAGAGTTAGCTAGGTTATAGTGAAAACAGTTAGTATCTGGATATTGGTTTAAGTAAATAGTATGAAATAGTTGATATATAGATAACTTGTTAAAAAAGATTTTGATTTAAAAGATTTTAGTTGGTTAAGTCTAAAATTAGTAATATTATATAAAGGTTTTTAATTATAATTAAAATAAAGCCAAATAGATCTCTAGTCAATATCCTGATTAAAGTATAACCACTTACTATTATGTTTTTGTAATGTCTATATAACTAATATATAGGTTTTACATATTTACTTAATAAAACATCTTATAAGAAGTTCTATATAATGTTGCTTTTATTGAAAAATATAATAAGTGTTACTGTATAAAGATTTGTATAATTAAATAAAAGAAGTGATAATGATGGATGTTATTTGGAAAGAGAGTCTGTTTGCTTATTAAGATTATTATCTGAGTGAACTTACATTTTATGAAAAATAATTTATAGTTTATATGATTTAATAATATTTAAAAGAATATACCAAATAGACTATAAGTTAAATTTAAATAGCTTATTGAAATAAGTTAAGAAAGTTGAAGATTATTGAATTTGAAAATTATTGATTAAAAATTAATAAAAATATTGATTATTAAATTGTGTAAAATTATTAAAATTATAGTAATAATTAAGAAGAGCTTAGCTTTGTATAATAAGAATCAGAATTGTATTTTAGTAAAGAAAGAGTTAATAGTTTAATTATTATTATTAACTTGAATCCAACTAATATCTATTATGTATTGATCAATACTAATATCGATTACTAAGCTATTAGTATAAAAGAATAATTGTTGATAAGAGTAGTTAAAATAAAAAATAGATATAAATTAGTTAGTAGTTTTATTTAAAATAAAGATTTCAAAAACAATTGAATTAAAAATATGAATAATAGGTAGAAGAGAAATATAAGTTAGATGCTTAACAGCAGTAAAGCAAATAAGATTTAAATAATTTGTATTGAGGTTGAGTTGATATTTAGAATTAGTTCTGCCAAGAAATTATATTAAAATAATTACAGAAACTTTAACAATACAAGTTTGGTTAATTCTATAAAAATTAAGATAACATCCTGTACATAATTTGTATTTAGTAAGAGGTAAAAAATAGAATTTTGAATAATTTAAATTTATATTGGAAGTTCAGTAAGTAATGAAGTAATAGTTAGATAAAAAAAAGTATTTTTATATTTTTTTAATAATAATTTTCTTGTTATAATATAAAAGTAACTAAAGTTTAGATTTTGTAAGTTTTTTAGATAAATAAATAGTATAGTAAGTATAAGGATTATATCAGGTAATTAATAGTATAATAATATATTTTAGTAGTAAGAGTGTGCTATAATTGTGTCTTTTAAGTAAAAAAACTAAAGAGGTTTTCATCTTTTAGACAAGTATTAAAGTCTGAATAAAAGATGTTTTTAGTCTAATAAAATACTATTATTAGTTATACAAATTTGTTTAAGATATATAATATTTAATTACTTTTTAAAAGTTGGGTATTTAGAATGCTAAGATAAAATTAATTCTAATAACTGGTCTCTATTACTAATTGTATGAGGCTATATTATATTAGGATTAGCTGAGATTATTAAGCCAAGATAAATAAAAAGTTAAATAATTTTAAAATTTAATAAGTGTCTATTAGAGTTACCAATAATTGATTTAAAATAATATAAAATATTAATAGAAGACTATGAATTATTTTGTAGTTATTAAAGTCTAATTCAAGTTGTAATGCCAAGAAGTTTAGAGTTGTTAATTTGTTAAAAATAATTAGAGATGTAATGCTAAAGTTAAATGTCATATATATTAAAGTATTATATAAATATAAGTTAAAGCTTTATTTATATAATAGTATAGCTTATAAATATTATTATTATAATTATAAAATATATTTATCTTTTTAATATACAATACAGTATATTAACTAAATAAAAAAAAAATGTATAAGTTAAAACTCTATTTATTTGCTAGTATAGATTATAGTTTATTAAACTTAATTTCTGAAAAGTTTTTAAAAATTGAATTTGCTAAACTTTAAATTGTAAATTTTTTTTAAAATATTTTATATTTAAATCTAAACTTATTTATGAACTTTAAACTAAACCTAAACCAAATTTATTATAATGTTTAAGTCTAGTTTGGGTTTAGAATTATGTATTTGAGTTTAGATTTAGGTTTAAAATTAGTAAAATTTACTGTTCAAGTTTAGTTTAAATTTAGGTTTGATTTAAACTAAACTAAATTCAAACTAAATATAGAAACCCTAATTATACTATACTTCAAGTAACTGGAATTAGTAGTAATTGTAGTTATATACTACCAAATAACAAAAGAATAGAAAAAAGCATTTAGTAAAAAAATATAGAAATAGTTTAAAAAGAAAAAATATACAAATATTGGTTATCTTATTAAGCATAATGCACTAACTTGATATATTTGAATTAAAATATAATTACACAAAATTTTACATATTAATTTGTAATTAAATAAATATATTTAATATTTGAAGAT